TCTATGTAATTTGGTGGGTGAGTGCGGTTAAGTGGTCAGACTGAGTAATCACAGAATCTCTTCTATCGTGCTGTGTTGACATCCAGCCTTGCACGCCTGCCTCATGGTTCCTGAGGGCCTGTATGACTGCTCTTTGTAGACCATAAGGCCCATCGTAGACATGTTGCTGCCTTTGCCCCTTTCCTGCCTCGTAATTATGGTAAAGATTCTCAATTGTGGCATACACAGAGAATGAGCGGGGTCTCACCGTAGCTGACACATTATTCCTCTCCCCATTTTCTGTGCAGCTGGAAATATAAGCTACCCTCCCTGCATTTTCTTGGCAGGTAAACACATGGGCAAGTCAATTTAGCCTGTTTTCATATTCACCAGCCTTTCTTTCCACTCCATTGTGTTCTCCCTTATTGAAATGTAATTATTCCTTCAAGGGTCAGCCACAGAAATATTTTCATATAAGCTTTTTAATAAACAGCTGAAACTTTGTATGAACTTTTTAAAGAAGTGACTGTCAGCAAAGGCCTTTGCTTTAGGCCATCCAAATTGCTATATAAAGTACACTTCCTAAATTAACCGGATCATATGAGCCACGAGAACAAGCATTGCTCCTCTCATTAAGCCTTCTTAAGCCATCTCTCCGGGCCACACCGAACAGTCCTCCCCAAAGTGGGACACTGTGTGCCCTGTTTGAAAGCTGGTGTGATCAACATAGTTGGAATTGCTGAGATGAGAAGGGGAAAGAACGGGATGCTTTACAAATAGGGAGCTGCACGAGGTCCTTCGCAGAATTCATTATGGCTGAGATGACTCTCCTGGGAAATAATTACTCCCTGACCTCCAGGTAGTAGAGTGGTCTCCACCTCATGTCTCAAGGTCATACTAAGTAGGCAGCAGGCCTGGCCACAAATCCAGCCCTGACTGTGGGCCAGCCCGGCCATACCTAATGCCAGCCCCACTGCTGCCTGCCTTTCCTTCCCACCACCTACACTGAATGCTGTGATGATCTGGCAGCTGAGGTACAAACTGTGTTTGGATCTCTGCTGGGTTGAGAACGAGGACCATTTCAGATCACACCTCCAAAGTACAATGCAAGACTCTTGCTCAAGCTAGAAACATTTTTAAATGGCTGAGTCCCTTAGTTGAGCTTACAGTGATAAATGTGTGCATGGGTGTGCATGCATGTGTGTACATGTGCTGGAGATCACACCCAGGGCCTTGCACATGCTAGGTAAGTACCCTACCACACAGTGACATGTACAAGCCAATGGCAGTCATCTCTAATGGCTTCTGAACTAAGAGGAGACCAGTAACTTTCTTCCCTAGTCTCTCTTCTTAAAAAGGACAGCAATTAGTGTTGTAGTTCTCCAAAAGAAGTCCTAAATTCAGAAATCTGTTGTTGAAGCTTTTGGTTAGACAGATCATCCTGGTTAAACTTACAATTTTTGACTTTCTTGATAGTGCAAAAGGAATACACATTTAGTTAAAACTGTACTTTAAATGGTGAGTTTTATCTTTTCCTGACCTAATGATATAATTAAGATGCTCTCTTGCTAGGCACGGGGGTATGCCAGTCAGATAACCAATTACAAGGGAAACCAGCTGATACTCTACAGTCTAGTGTGTCACTAGCGACAGTGTTTAGTAGGTTAGGTGTATTAAATGCATTTTTAAAAATGTATTTTTGGCTTAGAATATTTGCAATATAGGACAGGTTTATCTGGACGTAGCCCCATCCTAAGGGGCAAAGGGCATCTGTACCTACATTACTGAGAGTACTTTATGGCATAATAATGCAAAGCTTAATGAGAGCAAGCTGCCTCTGCCTACGTCTGGAGTCAGATTAAGTTATGGACTCTGTCAGGCTCTTCCAGCCTCTCCCTGGAACTGTGGGAGAGGGAGAGAGGGACAATCCCTCTTTCAGAGGAAGGTAGACACTAACAACTTCCCCCGGTGCCTGGCTTTCAATTCACAGAGACGTTAACCCCCAAAGCAGGGGCTCACTGTACATGCACGGGAGCCGTTGGAAGCCCCTGTCCTGGCTGAATGTTGGGTTGCCCAGTAGGCAGTCAAGTGAAGTAGAGAAATGACAGGCTTTAAAGCCTGATCCCCCCAAAGTTGAATTCCAGCGTTGTTCTCACTCTGCTGTGTGACTTCGGGCAATTTACTTGACATCGTGGGATCTCAGTTTTCCTGTCTGAGCAACAAGGATAAAGTACATACACTTAAAGACTGCTGAAAGATTAGGCAACAAGAAGGCAAAATGGTGCAAGTACCTTGGGAAAGAATTTGGCAGTTTCTTACAGAGCTCAACATAATCATACCGTGTCATTTAGCAGTTACAGCCCTCTGTATTTACCCAAATGAGTTGAAAACTTACATCTACACAGAAACCTGCAAAGAGTGTTTACAGCAGCTTGATTCATAAATGCCAAAACGTGGAAGCAACCAAGACGTCCTTTAGTAATTGAACGGGTAAAATTGTGGCTTATCCATGTGATGGACTATTACTCAGCAATAGAAGAAAGACACTAACAAAGCCTTGACAAGACATGGAAGCCAGTCTGAAAAGGATACCCACTGTGATTCCAGCTCTAGGACGGTCGGGAAAAGACGAAGCTATGGAAATAGTAAGGGATCAGTAGTTGCCAGGGACTCAGGAGGAGGGGGAGGTAAGGGATAAACAGGTGGAGCACAGGGGACATTTACAGCATCGAACTGTTCTGTGTGATTCATAATGGTGGATATGTGATACTACACTTTTGTCAAAACCTGTAGAACGTACAATGCAAAGAATGAACTCTGAACTGTGGACTTTGGTAAATAACAGGTGTTCTAAGAAAGGTTTTTAAAATATGTAATACTAGGAGAGAGACGTGATGGGGAAGTGGTTAAAGTATGTTACGTGCATGTACAGATTTGCCAAGTGAAACCTACTAATCTATATAACCAGTGTACATTAATAAAAAACGTGGGAAAAAGATTTTAAAAGATGATGTACGTAAACTACTTAAGTTCCTGATACTTGATAAGCTCTAATAAATGGGGCTATTTATTTAAAGTTATTTAGGCATATTTTCTGTTCTGGTTAAATGCATGAACTTAATAATAATTGATATTGTTATTTTAAAATCTAGTTGGTTACCAAATGAGAATTAGATATCCTTTGTTACCATAGATTGGTTCAAGAGAATGTGATATTTTTCCCTCTTGCTTCCTGTATTGAGCCAAGTTAATGATAATTTGTTGCCAAATCCAAGGAAAGCAAACTCTGGCTTATGCATGGCTTTTCTTTTAGTCACCATGATTTATAGTCGGTATAAAGTTCGGATCTGGACTTGCTTAGTTATAATGCGATTGCAGTATACTGCATCTTGATTTCATTTTTGTCAGGTCCTGTATTGTTATGTAAAAGCTAACTTTAATCAAGAATTGCTCTGCTATGTGTCCTGCATAAAATTTCTTCTCATTTGTATCAGGTTTGGTTTTTTCCCCCTTTCTTTGGGGGTATGGTTTAAATTACTGTGGGAAGAAAAGGCAGGAAATATAAATTTAAGTGAAATGTTAAATCATAAAAAATTACATCACAAAACATTAAAGCATTGTATGGAAAACTTTGCCAGCATCTGATGGAACAGAAGGGACCATATAGTTACAACAGAATTAACACCTGCTTGGTAACTGGAACTCCCACACATCCAAGCTCCTTTTCTTACTAGATGCTAGGAATCTAGGTCTGTGGAAAGTTCCAAAATATCCAAATCCAACAAAACTTGAAACCATCGTAACAGTATGCAAGTTGTCAAGAACATACAATAAATAGTCTCTGGATTTTTACAAAGCACTAAAAACTAAATGCTACATTTATGTCTTTGTCTTTTTTACCTTCTCATTTGACAGATTTTATTTTTTTTAAATTTTTTATTTTTTTATCGGTGCCAGGGATAGAACTCACGACTGCCTGATTGCAAGGCAGGCGCTTTTGCTGCTGAGCTAAATCCCCAGCCCCGTTTGACAGATTTTAAAGCAGGGAGGGCTGTGCCTCCAGGGCTTGCCTGGTAAGCACAAGGTCATAAGTTTGATCCCCAGTACCAAAATAAATAAATAATAAAAAGGAGACACACTTTTTGCCTGGCAAGCATGAGGTCATGAGTTTGATTCCTGGTACCCCTCAACCCCCTCAAAAATAAATAAAATTTAAAAAAATAACCAGGGAAAGTTGAGACAGAAACTTCCTTCTTTTTCCATGGTATTTTCATTCCCTTTACACATCTTGCTTCTACATTTTATAATACATTCACATCTTCATAACTGCCTATTAGAGAAATCCGAATGTCCAGTCCAGTTGTTTTTTCTGTCCCACCTCTGCCACTGTTTTAGGTTGAGTTCTCTGACTTAGGCTCTAGGGTGTGTGACAGCTGATCTCAAAGCCAGGGAGCCCTCAGTGGTCTGCAGCAAGGGCCACTTTCTGGCTAGACCTGCGCTTGGCCCGAGTCCTGTGGGCATTCAGGAACCCTTTCCCCCAGCTGCCGAAAGTGTCACAGAACAGGGACTGACTTGCAGCCAGAAAATACTGCTCCCAGACTGAAAGCCCAGCATGCAGGGAGAGGTGGCGAAGGGCACGCAAGGCAGCAGAGTCGGTTGTCAGGGTCTGGTGGCCTGCAGAGGGTTCAAGGCTGCCTGCCGGCTTCCTGCAGGGACTTCTCTAACCACAAGTACAAGCTATGCTTTGGTGCTGGGTATACAAATACGGCGTTCTCACGACTCCTGTCCCTCAAACAGGATCCGGTTTCTTGGAGTGAGTGAAGTGTTCCTGTTGAGGGCACACACTGTGTTCCGGGGCAGGGCAAGGCGAATCCTCGAAATCACTGGCTGGATTTCCAGTTGAGACCAGGACTCGGGCGAGAGGAAACCACGAGAGGCTGTCTTCATCCTCTGTTCATGTGGGGTTTGAATGAGACACACAGAGTCACATTGCCCCCCCCCCCCCATTATACAGGGTTCGAGTGGGGTTACCTGGTAGGCTTTCAGCCTGACTGTACTGTCACTTGTTCGAAGGAGGTGTTTTCTTTGCCCCCACGACAAATCTTAGAATCTTGTATGGGTGGCAGAGGCTGACACTCTAGGAGTGGGCGCTGAAGCTGGCTTTTGCCATGATATCTCGGACACTTTGTGGATGCCAGGGGGAAGCAAGCCGGAAGTCTGGGGCTGGCATTCAGGAGACCTGGCTTCTCAGCTTCTCGCCCTCACCCTGAGCACTGGGCTCTTCTTTCCAGCTAAGGACAGGGGCCAGATGTCTCAGAAGACATGTTTTTCGTATGAGTTAATATTTTTATTTTGTTTTCTATTTTTTTCCCTTCAAAGGGTCACCATTACTTTAATTCTGATCTTCACGTGGTAGGTCCTTATCCTGATGATTCAGGAGTAATCATCAGAGAAACATCATGAAACAATCTCATTTTTCTTTTGAACCATTTGCAGCTAACATTCTCCTCTAAGACAAGGAAGTCATTTTTATAACTCAAAATGGACAGAACCACATTTTGTTGCTGAAAAACCAAGTATTTAGATTTAAAGATGATGGGATCCCAAAAGGTGCCTAGTACCAAAAAGTCAGCTTGCCTTCCATCCCCACCCACCCGTCCTCCCTAGCTCCTTCCTAGGGCTGGTTCTCATTCCTGATTTCTGCTACAAGTCAGATGGTCTCGGGTGCTCATTTCCCACATGGGAACATACCTGCTCGGTCTTCTGGTTACACTCCCTGCCTCAGCCAGCTTTGCCTTCACGTGTTGGCAGGTGGGAAATGGGGAGATGCCCAGGCACTGGGAATGAGGGAGGCCAGGCCTGCAGGGGTTTGCTGAGTTAGAAAGATCTGCTGCCCACTCTTCTGGGGGCAGCATGTGCAGGGCAGAGGGACAAGGGACTGGGCGCTGCCCAGTGACAGCAAGAGCGACAGACAGTGGGCACCCTCTGACCCTAGCAACTAGACAGGAATAAAAACAACCAAGTGAGAGATGAAGAGGGGTTCTGTGGCAGGAAAAACTACTCCCCCAAATCCCCGCCCTCCAAATCCAGAGCAGGGCCCAAAACACTGTGAGAGATGGCCTGTCCCTAGAGCAGCCTCACCTTAATCCAAGGTCAGCCAGGTCAGCCAGGGCTGCCAAGAAAGCTGCCTTCCGGTTTCAGTCTATGATCCACAGACAGCTCTGGCAAGATCTGTAGCAAAACGAACAATTAGCCAGTTCATTATGTTGATGCCACTCTTTTACAAAATAAGACCTTTTCCCTTAATTAGGGTTGTGACAGATAAAAGTATATTCCCAGCCGACTCGTGCAGTCCACATGGGCAGACCTATTATCCCTGCTTGGCCTGCCGTCTGTGTGTGAGCGTTCACTCTGTATGCACAATGTTGGCAGCTTCACAAAGGACTCCGGAGCAATAAACACAGGGCCTGCTTCCTGCCCTTCGTCCAGAAGAGAATCGTCATTCAGCCACATGGTCCACGCCAGCAAACCCGGGTGGTTCAAGAGCAGGACAATAAAGCTCGCAGAGGGAGTGGGGCTGTCCAGAAATGGGTTCATGTGAGGAGGAAAACACTAGTAAGTCTTGGGGTCACTTCAGACAAGGAATTTAGTGCAAAAGAGAGGAGGCTAACAGGGGCCATGAATATCACCCCAAAGGCAGAAAAAAGAGCTTGACTGAGAACCCAGACTGCCCACATTCATATTTTGGTGAATGCACTTCTGACCTGTGTCACTTTGGGCAAGTTGCGTCACCTCTCTTTGCCTCAGTTTCCTATTTAACAGAGCCAGACTATCGTGCTGTCTCTGGGGCTGGTGTGAGAATTGAGCAGGTTAACACGTGGTGAACACCTCGAGCAGTGCCTAGCGAGGAAAGCATGTCCTCTGCACACAAGACGGGCAGGGGCAGGCAGCGGGTCATAACAGGTAATGGAAGTAGACTCAGTGGTGGAGACCTACCCTGCCATACCCACTGGTATCTTTTGACAGGAGACTTACTCAAAACAGGATCTTGAAAAATATCACACAAAGAAAACAAGAGTTTGAATGGTGTTCTTCTCCAGTCCAGACCTGGGCGGGTTCTGCATATCTCATCTCGCCTTGGAATCTGTACTCTGACTGCTCTCAGACACCTCAGACGTTATGTTCAGAGCCGTCCCTGGCTCCCGCTTCTGCCCTCTCCTGCTGTACCTTTTCTATTTCAATACCAGCCACCTGTTCACTCAGGATGGAAACTCGACAGGCAGTTGTCCTCAGGGCTGCCTTCTGCGTGGTCCTGATGGAGTCCATCTCCTCTCTCCTTTGCCGCTCCCTCCAGCCTGCTCCAAGAATCCTCCTCATTTCTCCTCCGTGGTAACTTTGTAACCAGCCTTCCTGCTTTACTCCTGCCCCAAGGCCAGAAAAGCGATGGGGCACCTCTAAGTAGGGCAAGTGTACCGCCCTTAGAATCTGCCGCGCGGGACCAGGTTCCCCCAGTGCTGTGCCACTCCGCGGGGACCCTTGTGATCTGCACGGTCACTCACCCGTATGTCATAGTCCTTCTCTGCGATCCATCCTCCCGGCAGCAGTTGGCGTGAGTGCCTCTCCTCCCTGATAGTACTGCTGCCCCTAGTCTTTTCTGGCTTCCTGTGGCCCAACTCTGTCCTGTCTGCAGTCCCACAGTGTCATTTCTGGCTTTGCTATCAAGCAGCATTAACCAGGCATGAGTTTTGGGGCAGATCATATGATGCTAGCTCCTGCAGAAAGCTGAGAGACACTGCCTAGGTCACGGGCCACAGACCGAGCACAGAGCTGCAGTCAACCTGTACATCCACTTTTGTTTGGTTCACACAGCAGCCTTTAAAGTGTTTGGATTAGTTGACACTGTTTAAAGTGGAGAGTTTCTCTAAAATCGGAATCTGTGGCTTCTTCTCAAAGATTACAAGATGTAGAGATGTGCGACCCTCCTGCTTGGAGGGTGATATTAATGGATGGCTGCTGAGTGGCAGCCGTCCCGCTTTGGTGGGATGTGCCTTCTGTTTCTCCCTAGCCCCTGTTGCTTCCTGTTGTGTACACATTTATATTCTCTACAGGCCTCTGTGGACATTAGCACTGGATTCCCTAACCTGGTTCAACTCTTTCAGTGTGCTGCTGTGAAAGGTGAGGCCAGAAAAATGGCCCTTCATGCATTAGTGTCTAGTTCATATGCCAGATCATGAGCCATCTCAGGGCTGCCGACTCTCTAGTCTGTGCTGTCTCTGATAGAAGCACATGGTGCAACTTGGTTAATCATTTTCCCTGCTGTGATTACTACTCAGCATGCCCTTTCATTGTTTTTGCTTTTATCTGTGACCACATGAAAATTAGAACATATAGTCTGAAGGGCCAGGACGATGTTCTTAAACTGTACTCCACTTGACCGTGTAACTCAAATTAGAAAGGTGGAAATATAGAGAAGGCTGAAAATGACACGGAAAATAAAACCAGGATCTCTTCCTTGATGGTTTCAGGCAGGAGGGGACCTAGCTGGACTGTCATTTTTAGGGACATGAAAATGAAGAGGGCAGGCAGGCTGTAGTGGTACACACCTGAAATCCCAGCACTCAGGAGGCAGAGGCATGAGAGGAGAAGATGGCTGCAAGTTCAAAGCCAGCCTGAGCCACATGGTGAGTTCAAGGCCAGTCTGAACTGTCTAGCGAGACCCTGTCGCAAAAAGACCAAAAAACAAAACAAAATAACCAAACCAAACCAAACAAAAAGAAAGGGAAAAATGAAGAAAGAAACAAAAAAGAAAGAAAATGGAGAGGTAGACAGCATTTAGTCAGTGGCAGCAGAAGGGCAGGGGGCCAGATCTGTGGGCTTGGTGCACCGTACTGTGCTGTGTTCCTTAAGAATTACTGTACACAGATCTTTCTGGAATAAAAGGAAATGTACCAGTAATGGCTTTTACTAATCAAGAGGAACTGTGGCAAACCGTAGTCCCAGAACCAGGTAAAAAAAAGCCTTCCCGTTTTCTTCAGAGAAGGCAGCTGCATTACAGCACGGGGAAATTAGCCTTGACAACAGCCAGACCCTCCTGACTTCTGCATCCTCTCAGTACCTTGATAAATCTGTGCCTGAGCTGAGAGACAAGATTACTCTATGTCATCAACAACTCCAGATCTTGTCCTCATGGCACCCCTGGGCTCCTTCCATCTGAACTGTAGAGAGGTGCATCATTTATAAGGAGGAAAGGGTGGGCCAGGATCCCAAGAGAAGCCATGAGCAGGACCTCAGTATTATACTGCTTTTGGGTTTTATCCCTATCGAATTATTCTGTTTTTTTTTTCCCATTGGAATTTAGAAATGTTTAATAATAACTCGAGATATTTCCTTTATCTGTGTTAAAGTGTGATTAGCGTTCCCATCACTAGGATACAGTACCTGATACAATTTAAAGGACAAGAAGTTTAATTTGGCTCACAGTTTTGAAGGATTCTGTCCTTGTTCCGCTGGCTCCAAGGCAAGAGCATCGTGGTGGAAGGGCATGGTGCAACAAAGCTGCTTAGAGCATGGTGGCTGGAAGCAGAGCAGGGGGACAGTGCCAGAGAGGAAGGGGTGAGGACCACATATAGTGCTCAAGGTCACACCTCCTTGGCCCACCCAGACACACTCAGGAGCAAGCTGTACTAATCTGCTAGGGGAGTGAAGTTAATACATCAGGATTAACGGTCACAGTCCATCCAGTGTCAATTTAACGTTCAAAGACATCTCCTTTCTAACACAATAAAGCTATCCCAAGTGCAACTGGAAGCACAATAATCTCTTATGCAGAGTCTCAGCATTTCTAGCATTTTTCAAGAGTCCAAGCCTTTTGAGACTCAAGGCAAATGCTTGCCATGAACCTTTGTAAAAATAAAAAATAAATTATGTAATACCAAGGTGCAGTGGCACAGGATAAACATTCCCATTCCAAAAGGGAGAAGTAGAGGGGTAGAAAAAGAGTTACACCTAAGCAAGACCAGTGGCCAGCGAAGCAAACATTAAATTTTGTAGCTACATTATCTATAATGAAGGACACACAGTGATAAAATGTGAGCTACACAAGGCTTGGGCATTCCCACCCCTGTGTCCCTATTAATTGCAGCCCACATGGCATCTCTCATGGGCTGGTGTCACTCAACAGCCTGCAGTTGTTCCATGTTCCTGGAATTGGCCACTTCCTTGGGTTGCCATTGTACTTTTGGCTTCATTCCCACAGCTTCGTACTCTGCCCTATCAGAGGATCCTTGCCTGGCCCTCTGGGCCTTCCTTTGCATTCTTCATGCCAGTAAAATTAGCATCAGGTGGACAACACCAGTGCCTGCTGAAAGCAGAAGCAGTATCCAGGCCCTCTTGGACTGTGATTGCAGCAGATTCTGAGTGCCTGGATAGCTGAGCATGGTAAAATTAATCCTGGGTAAGCAGTTCTCTGGGAGGCCTTTCTTGAGCAGGGATTCTAGGGATTCTCTTCTCAAACAAAGGGTCAGCACTTTTGCACTCTTGAGTCTGCAGTGAATGGAGTTTGCTGATTTCTGAGATTCCTCAAAAACATTCTGGGCTACAATTTAAGTTTTCAAAATTCTATACTCACTTTTTTCCCACCATAAATTTAGCAAAAAGTAACCAGCAGTACCCATAGTACAGTCTTAACATTGGTCTGTCATGACAGTTCCTTCACCAAGTCAGTTAGCCTGCTGCTCTTAATCTCAGTCTTCTGTGAATTCTCAGGACATGGGCACAATGTAGACAAATTTTTGACCAGAGTGTAACATGTTTATTTTTTAGTTCACCTGCTTAATCTCAGTTTAAACCTCCCAATCTGGGCCTTTACTGTCCACATTATGTCAGCATTTTAGTCATCCGAGCTCTGGCCAGAATCACCAATGAAGCTCTGTTGTGCAGCATTCTAAGACTTCTCTTACCTACATTTCTAAGCCTCTCTAAACTCCTCCTCCAAACCAGTTCCCACGGCTTCTAAACCACATTGTCAGGTAGAGTTACACCAATGACTCCATGTCTCCGATAGGAATCATTAGCTTTTTCATTATTGAGACACAGTACCCAATACCCTCAAGTAAAAGAGAAGAGGTTTAGTTTAGCTCACAGCTGTGGGAGATACAGTTAACGGTAGGGTGGCTCAAAGGCAGAAACACCATGGCAGAGCAAAGCTGCTTAGTTCATTGCAGCCAAGAAGGAAAGCAGGAGAAAAATGCCAAGAGGATCGGGGGAGGGACCATCGTTGTTCTCAAGGTCATGCTCCTACGACCTTCCCAGACATACACAGGAGCACGCTTTGCTAATCTGCTAAGTATTTCTTAACCCAGTAAAGTCAACATGTCAGGATCAAGGATTACGAAGGGTGGCCAAGAACTTCTGCTTAGTTTAACACACTAATGATTGAGGCAGGATAATCAGAATATTGTACCAGTAGGACAGATATTTTCCTCTAAACCTAGAGAAGTCAGATGCTCTTTCAAACCTCTGAGTCATTACTCAAAAGTGGAAATCAGATTTATGAGTCTAT